GAGAAAGCAAAGAAATGATTTTAGACTTAATGGAATGGTGTTTGCTATAGTTTGGACCCAAATGCCTCCAGAGACTTGTGTTAAAGGGTTTGTCCCTAGCTTGGTGTTGTCAGGAGGTGGTGGAAATTTTAAGAGGTGGGGCATAGTGGGAGGTCTCTGGTTATCTGGAGGCATGTCCTTGAAGGGGTTTGGAGAACTCAGTCCCTTCCTCCCACTGTCTTTCATCCTGGCCATGAGATGAACGGCTTTGCTATGCTCCATGGGCTTTGCCGTTGTTCTGCCTTTCCACAGGCCCAAAAGCACCACCTAACTTGGATCGGAACCTCCAAAACTGTGAGCTAAAACAAACCTTTCTCTTTATAAGTTGATTATCTCAGATATTTTTTTAAGGTAACAGAAAACTGTTTCCAGCCTGGGCTACATAGTGAGTTCCAGTTCAGTCTCAACTACATAGTGAGACTCTTCTGTCTCAAAAAACAAAACAAAACAAAACAAAACACCAAACAAACAAACAAACAAAAAACTGTTTAACACAGTGTTTACATGATTTTATCTTAACAGGATAAGAGACTGTCTAGAATTCATTTTATTGAAATTTTTGGTTGAGCAAAGCAGTTGTTCATATTTCCATCCTCAGATTAGTTTTTTTTTTTGTAGCAAGAAAGTGAAACACAGAAATGTCATAGGCAAAGAAAGGAAACTAACATAAAATAAAAGTCATAGGCAGAGTCTATTAAATTTCTGAAATTTCAGTTCATTTACAAGTCACTAATAGCAGTATACATATATGTGAAATATACAATATATGGTAAGGTACTTTAAGTAAATGCTTTCGAATATTAAAAATTATTAAGACTTGATTTTTGGACATTATGCTTTTGAAGACTGTACTGCTGTAATGTCATTTTGCAAAACATACTACCAAAATTTTAACTGGCAGAATAGCTCATCTTACTCATGAAAGTATTTGTTATGGACCTAATGGGAGGACCTTTTTGAAGCAGCCTTATATTGTCTCTTACTGTGTAACATCCATGTGAGTGGAGAGATGAGTGAACAATTAAGACAGTTTGATTCCAGTACATTTCTGCAGCTTCTGTATTGAAACTGCCTTTCTATTCCTTTGTTTCTTTTTCTTCTTATTTTCTTTTTTAACGTGGCACCAGGGACAGAACCAAGGGCCTTACATATGCTAGGTAAGCATTCTATCATTGAGCTATGCCTCTAATCCCTCCTAAGATTTTTTTTTTTTTGGTACTGGGGATTGAACTCAGGACTTTGAGCTTGCCATGCAGGCATGGTGCCACTGAGCTAAATCTCTGGCCCTCCTCCTAACATCTTTTAAATTTTGAGGCAGGGTCTTGCTGAGTTATCCAAGCTGGCCTCCAGCTTATGATCATCCTGTCTCAGCCTCCTGAGTATCTGGGACTACAGGAGACAGCTTTTCAATTATAAACTTTCATCTCTATGGGCATGTGTCAAATAACATAGTAGTGTTACCAATAACAGAAAAAATAACAAATAAAGCCATCCATATTAGGCCAGGAATAATGAATGATATTGATATAGGAGATAGGATGTGGCAAAGCTGTCTGGGAAAATGAGCCAGGTCTGTCAATCACAAGATCCCAGGGTAACTCAGGGACCCCCAAAGTAGAACTTCTCACAAGCTCCCTGGAGATGTGGAAAGAATAAAAAGGACTGACCATCATGGAAGGCCGCTATTGTGGATGAGTTTGCATGGTAGCCCATGCTGCCTCTGAATGCGGCATGTACTTTTATTTTTGCTTTTATAGTCTTTTTCTCTTTGTTCTACCCAAATTTACTCTGTGGATCTGGTTTCTCCCATTCCCATTTACTCTGTACTTTTCAGATAAACTTTTTGGCACTGTTATTGGCTTGTTTTGTCCATTTCTTTGTTTGAGGCAAGAAGAACCTGGAATACTTTTAATTAGCAAGCCATTTCTAAAGAAACTATCTGATAACAGTATGACAAATTATGGAGCATCGCTAAAATGGTATGTTACACAACTATTAAATAGGAATAATGTACAGAAACATTGAAACATACTTAAGATGTATTTAAAAGAAAAAGACACTGCTTTAATATTTATGCTGCATGTACATGTAGTGGAGGGGAAGATGCTATGCCAAAATAGAAATACAATGTTCTATTAAGATACTGGAATTGTGGAGTCTCTGAATATTTCTTTTAATGTGATAAAATAATAGTGGTAATGATAACAGTGAATTCACAAAATGAATGGTAGAGATATTTAAAAAATAAGTAGAGACTGGATCTCACAAAAGAGAAAAAAATTTAAAAGAAGGAATCTTTCTTTCCAATTTTTGCCAGCTCAACAGGTATTAAGATTTCCAATACTGAAAATATTTCCAGAGGAGCTGGTTAGCAGGGTTTGGAAGAGAGCCTGAAGTTAACTGTGTCTGGATTTTGTTTGCCAAGATGATTTCAATAGAAAGTAAATCTTGAAACAGTTGTCTAATATGTTACAGCTTGGCTATCTTGGCTGGATTCACACTTAGAAGTCAAGAAATAGTTTGGGAAAAAACTCATGTGCTTGCTAAGTGGGAATATAGAGCAAGAGGAATTAGAGAAATTTCAAAAATAAAATGCCTATTTAAAAATCAAGCAGAAATAGTAAAATAAGGGAAACTAATGCTTCTTTAAATTTATATTAGTTTGCAAGTTCTTAAATTCTTCCAGGAACAACCCACTTGCCTGTTGTACTATATCAATATTAATAATTTTCTAAAACTGTTGATTAGAATGAATAGTTCTTTTTTTCTCTAAAGGGCAGAAGTATTTTTTTCTCTTTTCCTTCAGTTTTGTTCAAAATAATGGCAGTTCTACCCTGAATAATAGTTAGAAATGTTGATTTGGGACATTAGGCTACCTTTCTGCATAGAGAAAGGTGCTACTTTACATAAGGTATTAAGAATTAACACATGACACAATCATACATTTTATTTTTTCTGGTTAGCAAAGCTAAACCTCCAGCCCAACATTTGCAAACTATTATTTTAACACAGGAAAATATTCCCTTAAATGCATTCAAAGATACCTTCAGTATTTTAGGTATGTGGAAGAAGAAACCTGAAACAGACCTCTTCTGAAACAGAACTTGAAAATGTGATAAAATACACAATATCTCTAAACTAATAACTGACCCTAGATTTGGAAATAGGCTGTTTGTGTGTGTGTGTGTGTGGGGGGTATTATATAAAGAAGTTTAGCTGTTTCCAAGAAATCAGAAAGTAACTTTTCCAAATCTTGAACCATACTTCTCAGACCTGTGCAAATTTGCTGAGTTTCTGTAAACATCTCTGTCTTGCTTTCTCCTCTATTAGTGGAATACATTAGTTGAAGTTTTTGTTTCTAAAAGTTACCTGCAATTTTTACCTTTATATAAATATTATTTCCTGCTTTCAAAATGCTTTAGAATTATCAAAATGTATTATGATTTTGGGACACTATCTCTCCCCATCCCAAATCCAAATTTTTGTAAGGCTGTGAATTGTATTACTTTGGGCTATGCCAACATTTAAAACCTTCTCCTCAGGTATATTTCACTCCTAACTTCTACAGTTTTATTCCTAGGGGTGTATTGCATTTAATAAATAATTCGTTTTGTTTTGTTTTGTTTTTTGAGACAAGGTCTCACTATGTAGTTGAGACTGACCTGGAACTCACTATGTAGCCCAGGCTGGTCTCAAACTCACAGAGATCCTCCTGGTTCACCCTCCCTGAGTGCTGGGATTAATAAATAATTTTTGATAATCAAGAACATCTGCTTTCATATATCTATAAAATTCTTTTAAGTAGTAGCAATTCAATCTCTATCACATAAGTTTGGTTATGAATTGCATAACTTTGGTATGCATTTTGCTGTAACTCATTTTCTGGTTACAAATGAATTGCTTTTGATAAAATACAAAACATTTAAACTGGGAAGGAATAAAAGAAACACTTTAGTTTAAATCAGTCCCACTCCCCCATCTCTTTTCATTTAGTAAGAAACTGAGGTATGAGAAGATAATTGCCCAAGATCACACACCTAATTTTCTGATGTTTAAACCCCATTAAAAAAACATATACTTTAGATTTTGAACTTGATCTGAAAATTTTGACTTCTAAGAGCATAATTTTTATGACAGTAATTGGTACACTTATGAAAGAATTACAGAGTTGGACTTGAAATATATGAAAGAGATAAGTTCCCAATTTTTATCCTCAATTCACCTTTGGGAGTGACTAAAACCATCTAATAACTGTCATTCTTTGAGGGATACAAATAATTCTCATCTTTAAGATGAGATCTATCACTATTTCTATATATAACTCAATGTGCTTCTATGACAGGGATCAAATGGTATTTTGGTTCATTGTCCTTTTATCTATTGCAGTTGAACATGGTAAATAAATAGGAAATAAATTTTAGGATACCACAGCATTTTTTCTCAGGTGCAAAAAATATGAAATATACTTTCATCATATAAAGTTTGTTGATTTGGAGGACTTAATAAAATCTGGGCTTCAATTAAATTTAATAGATTAACTTGCTTCATTGGTATTTATATTTGTGAGTTGTTGATCACTTTCAAAGGTTTAACCACTGCATTTCATGCAAATTTTGCATAATGTTTAGGACTAATGTATACATGTCCTAGATTTTAAAAAGCTTATAGTAGCTACTAGTACACATCTCCCAGAAATGCTGAAGACACTTGAATATATACGTAAATTCATTTTGTCTTGATGAAAACAAATTCCAATCTATAAAAATATTACATCAAGCCATTTTGCACCTGGTAAGGAAATTATACGTGAATAATTGTAAATGTTAAAAAATTTCAGCTAAATACCTATACATTAATTTAAATGAAGAGTTTAAGAAGCTATACCATCTAAAATATTAATTTTTCACATAACTGATCACACTTACTTCACTTGAAACCAATGTCTGTCAGAGGATAAAGCCTTGAAAAGTTATACAATTCAATTTTGAAAACTCACCTTTCTCCAAAAACCATCCTATCTAATGAGGGCGTAACTATTCTATCTTAATTTTTTTCCTTTCAGTAGTTACCAAGTGTAAAGAGCTTTTCACCAGACAAAAAATAATTTCATATAATGGAGCGCTAAATTTTTTTTCCTGATTTCTTCAGACATAAAGCAGCTCTGTTTCCTTGTGGATAGCCCATGTGTCACTTGGTTCCTAGGATCTGTAGCCCACTCTAGATTAATCTTGCTTTCCACAGGTGCTAATAACACTTTTTGGGTTATTTTACATGACATTTGACATTATATAAATTGTTTAAAAAAACAATTGGAGCTGCTTCCTTTCCTACTCTTTGCCTTTTCCAGTGTCCTTAATCGTCATCACCCTTGCCTAAAAGGTGTCCCCAACATGTCTATTTACACGACTTTCAGGCACCGGAGGCTGGCACACCCATCACATACCATACCAAGTTCCAACACTGTGCAGGCTGCCAGAGGAGAGCAATTGCCGTCCACTGGGAGCAGGATGTAGTTGTGTTTCTATGAACTCCACAGCAACCCTCGTATGCAGAGCTTAGACTATTGTCTCATGGTCCCACTTGCCTTGGCTCTGATTGATGTAACAACAGTATCTGTCATAGGGGCTGTTCTGCTTGTAGGAGCAAACGATGATACTGTCCTGGGGTACAAAGAAGATGCTGTCCTCTGGCTCAGGGCACTCAGATCTGTCCCAGGCTGAGCACTTGGCATCCAAGGCACTGTAGGTGAGGGAACTGCCTGAGGGACAGTAGCCATCCAAGAATCTGGACGTCTCCTCCTGATGCCCACTGTGGACAAGGCTCTGGCATTCTCCTTCCTCTGTGGGTGTGTGGGTGGTGATGGAGCTGGCCAGGGGCAACTCACTCTGCGCCTGTGGGAGCGGCTTCCCTCTGAGGCCTGCCTTCTTAGCCAGCTCATCTGAACTTCCTTTGCCTGATTCCAGGTCTGAAGGGGTCCTCAGCAGCTCCACCACCTCCTTGTCCTTGGGTTTCCGGAAGCACGGCAGTTTGCGGACCCAGAGCAGCTCATTCTCCGGCCACTTGGTGCATCCTTCGGTCTTCCTGGCTAGGGCTATAGCTGCAATGCCTGGTAGGCAGATGGCTGGCCCTATGGCCAGGAGGGGGATGTTTCCCAGAGTCTCCCCCTTCATCCCAGAGACTGTGAACATGAAACCAAAGACCAGGAAGACACTGACCAGAGCCACCACCAGCCCAGTCCTCGGATTAATGTCATCAGGCCGCATCTTTCACTCCATCCAGGGGGTGGGCTGTGCTTGCTGGCCAGGGAGTAGAGATCTTCCCTCTGTCAAAGGTGAAATCACAGTGGATTAAAAGTCCAATGCAAGTTACCACCTGCCAGCTCAACTCTGTCTTTTCCTTGCTCTGTGTCTTTGACTCTGTCCTTCAATCGTGGTCTCTTTTCCTATCTTTGTTTCTAACCTTCTTGCAATCTCTGTCCTCTCCCTCCAAGCAATCACAACCCCCCCCCCGCCGCCCACTTCTCTCTTTCCTTCCCTCCAACAACTAACTCTCCCTCCCCTGTCCTTTTCTCTCTTGCAGCCCCTGTGTCTCATGAACAAACACCGACCCGGGTCTCGGAGTTACCTGAGTTTTCCTGCCGCCCCTCGGGATAGAGAAAGAAGACAGTCTGAGTCTCTTCAGAAATCTTGGCAGCAGTTGCCCCTTGGTTCTCTCCCTTGACTCTGGGAGGAGAGCCTGGTTTCCCTCACTAACTCCGCATCTAGGAGCTGGGACGTGGGAGAATCTCTCCCAGCTGTGCCCATCGGTTCCTAGGGCTCGGAAGCGGTGCCTCTGCGCCCCAGCCCCAAGCGCCGAAGGGAGGAAGGACTTAGCGAGCGGAGAGGGAAAGCGGCCGCGAGCCCGGCCTCGTTACATCACTTTCAGAGCAGGCTCAGAAACCAAGAAGGACGCGCGGGGGCCGCGCGAGGGAGATCGGACTCGGGGGGAGGCCATCCAGGGAAAGGGGTGCCATGGGTCTAGGGCTGGGAACACCAGGGGTCGTTGTCCCTCTGCCTGGCAGAGCTGAGCAGAGTGGCTGGACCCGCTTCCTTGCTGGGGGGTGGAACCCGGGTCGCTTCGCCCAACGGGCAGCCCTGGGAATGTTCGCGCTTGGGTTCCAAGTTCGTCGTCTGAGGGGTTTGGGCGCCAGCAGGAGATGTCCTCGGAACCCGCACCCTTCTCCAGTTACAAATCTGGGTGCCCTGGCTGGCCTGACAGCCTCCCCAGGTGGCTCCCCGACAGCCCTAGCCTTAGCCTTGCAGCTCCCCGAGGCCTGAGCACTGAGAAAGCCCCTCGCGGCTGAGCGCACGGTCCCAGCGCCCGGCTTCAGGGCTGAGTTCCCGGTGTGCTTGCTCTTGGGTCCTCGTCTTTGAGGTCGGAATCCGTCAGATCAGACTGGAAGTACAATCCCACTCCGACACTGCCCTGGTTCCAGCCAGGCAGGCTGGGGTAAAGGAGAAAGGCTCCTAGTCCAGACTCCCGGTGGGATCCCCACCTAGGAGCTAGGAAAAGGGGGAGCTGGGCAGTTAGGACCGCTACGGCCGAGTTCCTCAGCTCTCCGCCCTTGCTGAAACCGGTGCAGAGAATCCGAGTACAGTATTCTCCCTCAGTCGTCCACAGAGGTGTATGGATTCTTACTGCCCTGGGGACAAGAATTAGTTTGGCTGTGATTTAACAGGGCTGCCTGGTTAGTGGGGAACAGTATGGTGATAAGTACATTCTTTGATTTCCAAGATGCTGCCTTGCAAAGAATTTTGACCCAGGCCTTCTCCACATAAGCTAGTTGGGTGTTCCGGAAAGATTCTCCTTTGGAGAATCTGTTGTCCCCTCTGTAAAATATATGAGAGAGCATTGTAAAGATGAACAGAATGCAAAGTTCTTAGCACAATGCTTTCCTACATGATCTCTGTTCAAAATTTTTTTCATAGGATGCCACCATAATCAGTGTCTTCCTCATCGTGTAAGATAGGCCTAATCCCAAAAGACCAGTGTGTGGGGAGTTTGACTTTATCCATTAGGTGATAAAGAACAATGAAGTATTTTAAGCAGAAGTAAAAAATATTCAATTTTTGACAGTGACAGTAGATTAAAGGACAGGCTGGAGTGGTAAATCTGGAAGCAAGAAGACTTAGCAGGAAGGCAGAGAAATCAGCCAGGCAAGATATACTGTGATCAGATGAACTTCAGGCTAGTAGAGGTGGTTAGAAGCAAGGGTATCTGAAGTATATTTAAAGGTTGTACAAAGTGAAGTGAGCCGGGGGGGGGGCTGTGAGTAGGGGATTGAGTACCAACTTTCTCACTCTTTTAGGAATTAGATTAATTCAGAAACCATTTTTTCTAGAACTTTCTCATTTTTCACTCTGTCATCTATTTTGTGTGCCTTCTGTACTCATGCTTATTAGCTCCTGCTCCTTTGGGCATAGAATCATTGAGGAAGGAGGGCGGGCAGGCAGGCAGGCAAAAGAGAGGTGCCAGGTGTTTGGCCATTTGTTTCAGGAAAATACTTGTAATTCTAGGAGCCCCAGGGAGTAGATGGGCATCTGCTTGTAACTGGCCAGATGATGTCTCAGTAGGAAAGTCACGGTTTTGTTAGTGAGCAAAAACAGGAGCATGAGCACTGGGAAAGCAACTTGTGTGTGCTCCAGCTAGTGAACATCTTTCCCATTCTGAAACACTGTCTTCCCCTGCCTTTACTAATGTCGTTCTATCCTGATTTTCCCTCTATCTTGTCACACATTTGAAGGTACTTGCTCTTATTGAAGGTATTAAAGTCTTTTTTATTTTTATCTTTAACAGATCTCTTGGTGTTTGACTAATTCTGGTCTAGTTTCTCTCCTTTCCTGGTTTCCTTTCTCTTCCTTTTCATGGTATAATAGCTTTAAGCAACCTGGATAGGCTAATGACTATCAAATTTCCTTAGCTTGTCCTGTTCTCTCAGTTTCGATCTATAATATTCATCTGTCTACTTGACATTGCTGTCTGAGTGGTATATAGACCCCATACACTCAACACGACAGTAATTTAACTCCTATTTTTTTCAGACTTTCTCATTTGACTCTCCTTTGACAACTAAAGACATTTGGAATTGCTCTGTACTCTGTTCTCTCCCTAAAAATCTACATGCAATGAGTCACTCAAATCATAGCTTTTATCTTCTAAACCCCTTGATTACCCCCCCCCCACTTACTGTGAACATAGGACAGCTTACTTTCCTTATGGGACCAATGATTTTTGAGGAGGAGCTCGTTTAGGTCTATTTCAATGCTAATATTCAATGTTTCTGGGAGTTACTTCTGCAGGTTGAGCTTATATCAGTTGTATCGGTTAGGGTTTTCCAAGGAACAAAATCAATAGAAAATATATGTATAATTATGCAAGGTAGGCTTATAGGATCAGAGAAGGGAGAGTCCACAATGCCACCTGTGTGCTAGAGATCACAGGATCCAGTGGCTGCTCAGCCCAAGATGATGGAAGCTTCAGAATAGAGGGAACAAGGTTGTAGCACCACTCCTAGGTCAAAGAACTAGAAATTCACTGGAGAGTTACCTTGATGAGTTTATGCTGAAAGGCTGGAGAAACTGGGGATTGACATGCAAAAATGATGGCAGTAAAAGAGATCTATCATCTATCTGCATATATATATACCTGCTCAAGCAGATGGGAGTACTTAAAAATGTACCCTGACATCCTTCTCTTCCTTTATTTCATCCAAGCTATTGGTTGGTGTCACCTGTGCCTGGAATGGGTCTTCCCTCTCATTTTCCTGGTCTACATGCCAATCATCTCTGGAAAGACATCGCAGACACACCCAAAACCATGCTTGACTAATCTGCTAGACATTTCTTCTTTTCTTTTTCTTTCTCTCTTTTTTTTCCTTCCTTCCCCCTTTCCTCCTTCTTCTTCTTTTTTGGTGATACTGGGGATTGAACCCAGGGCCTTCACACTGAACTATTCCAAGCACTTTTTATATTTTACATTGAGACAGAATCTTGCTAAGTCACTAAGTGGCCCAGGATGGGCTCAGACTTGTGATCCTCCTTCAGTTTTCCAGAGTGCTGGGATTACAGTGTGCAGCACCACAACCAATTTATTAGATATTTCTTAATCCAGCCAAGTTGACATATCTTGATTAATGGTCACATTAGTGTTGGGCAGGTGTTCTGATAAGAGTGCTAGAAATTAGGGTGGGATCTAAAGAAAGCAAGGCTGCTGAGCAGAGACCTCACTTGTACAAACATCTAATTTCATTTGGAATTTTAAACCACACAGTTCATCTACTTAGGCATTAAATAAGACCTATGTACAAAATTATAGGAAACTTTATTTACTGTTTAATTATAAGTCTCATTCTCAAGGCACTTCATTCTTGGAGGCAATTTCAGAAGGTCTTTGAACAGCAGGCATACTTGCCCAAGTCAGCAGCAATAGTGAGTGGAGGTAGGAAATATCACTCAGAGACAGACAAGGCATTCTTAGTGTTTAGTTTCTTGCCTGTATGGAATTGGGCTGATTGCACTAGACTTTTAAAATCTTAGGCAGTTCCCACAATGCTGTAAGCAAATACAGCCATGTACAAAAACTTTTTACTAGAAAAGAAAATTCAGGTTGAAATAAAGCTTTGGTGTGTGGGTGTTTCAGAAGCAACCACAGAATCTTTTATTTCAAAAGTACAGAGATCACATTTGAAGTTAACTTGTAGAATATTAGTGAACAGATGAACTTCAGAATTCATTTGTTATTACTTGTGTTTATTAAGTGCTTGATGCTGTGCTAGGTGCTGGGGTACAAATCAAGTAAGACACAGGCTGCCTTTATAAAACCAATATCGAGCAAGGTTTGTGCATAAAACAGAATAGGATAGATTATACGGTGTCAGCAAAAGACCTCCGAATCTCAAAGGTTACATGCTCACACTACCTGTCTACACTGGGCCAGCTGGAATCTGCTCCATGTCATCTACACTCTGAGCTTTAGAGTTACAGAGCAGCCTCCATTTGGGATGCAGCAGAGGAACAAAAGAGCAGAGCCAACCGCATGCTGGTTGGTAAAATGCATATCCTAGGGTTTGTCATCACCTCATCTTCCAGGGTCTTCCTTTATGTCAGGTTGTTATGCAGGTATCCTACCCTTACTGGATACTGGAGTCTTTGGAATTCCTGAAAATTTAAAGGATGAAAGGGGGAATTTTTATCTAGTTACCATAAAAATACAGTTATTGCTGTGGAGGCTGATGTATGTCTCACTTTCTGTGGGGGAGGCCATTAGAATCAAAGATTCTATTCCCTACTATGGACTCAGTCCCTTCCTGGGTGACAGCGGAAGCAGAGGAGCCTGGAAGGAAGAAAGTAGATGACTGTGAAGACCACATGAAGCTGGGCTTGTTTTTGCTTGTTCCTTCTCAACTTTTTCTGTTGTTTGCCCTCCCCAGCCTTTCAGTCTCTGCCGAGTTTGGAATTTTTACTTTAGGGACTTGAAAATCTGTGGGACCTAGATCCTATTTCCCGTATCTCTATATTTAGGCTGCTTTTTTAGTTGAAGTAACCAGAAAGTCATTGTAACTGGCCTTAACAAGAAATAAGAGGCCTTTTCAGGATTTTTCATATAGCTCAAAGGCAAGGATGCATCTGAAACCACTGGAAAAAAGTGAAATCCGAGCCTGAAATACCATTAGCTTTTTCTCTCTGATATTCATTTCTCTTCTCTTTGTGCCCATTTTTCCCTTTCCACAGATTAGTTCCCTCTTTTTATCTGGTATACAGGTGGAAAAGCATGGCCCTAGAAGTTCAGGAGCATACATGCTACCAACCTAGTCACCAAGAGAAAGACAGGGCAATCTCTTGATCACAGCAAGTCCCAGGGAATGAATTCATTAGATCGTTTTGGGATAGGTGTTCATTCAGTCTATTTCGCTGTTAAGTTACATAGTTGCCAGGAACTCTTTTGCTATAACAGTAGGGGGTGTAGGAGAATAACGTCCATAAGAAAAGAGTGAGGTAATTTTCTGGTGCCTGAGCTGTCAATTTAAGAAATACCTGGTATTCTTCCCACCATGTAATGTCTTTATAGAGTCTAAACTGCAATGAACGG